GGAGATGCTTTTAAGTAAACATCATTTGAGCAAAGGTCACAAACAGGAGAGTGTCTTATTTGTCTAAAGACCTGGGGGAGCAAATGTGGCAGATCCTCAAAAAAAGTTTACCACAAGCACCTAGGCTCAAAGGAGGAGGTTTTAGGACTGACCATGAATGAAAGCAATGAGTGGAAGTGAACATAATATGGACAATATTAAATTTGGAATCTCTAAAAAGTTTGTGTCTGTTAAATGTACTGATATTATAACTTATTTTTTTCTGCAAAACCAAATGTTATGGAGAACTTCAATGAATAGGTTTTTTAGGGATGTTCAGAATAGAGAAAAAGTATGATTAAAAAACTGTATCTTAGGTTTGCAAGGATTGAGTCTTCCAGGAAAAATTAATTTCTCTAATCATGCTTTTTACTTTTGGAAGGCTTAACAGAACAATATTATTTACATGCAGAATCAGGAAATTCTGTACCCAATTGTATCATAAAGATACACACAACGCATGATAAAGGATATGGCAGGAATAATTTTGCACTTACTAAAAAAGTGTCAACATCTTATCTTCAACAATCTAACATCATAGCTAAATGCATAACCACAGTCTGGTACTATACAAAGATGTTAACAGACTTCAATAGTTTTAATTCAACTTATCATGTAGAGGTAATAAGATGAAGTATTTGTCATCAAGGAGTTCCTAGTCTTGCAAGGAAATACAAACAGATAAATAAACATCTACAAAATAACGTGATTATTGCTTTAAAAAAGGACTACATGGGTTTCACTAAAAGCACATTTAGAGTATCATATTTCATTTTCAGCACCACATTTTAAGAAACCTATTAAAGAATTAAAAAGTTTAGAAGAAGGTGACCAGGCTGATTAGGATTAAAAATAAAACTAAACCAAGAAAGTTGAAGATATATGTTTTTTTGTGCTTGGAGAAGAGAGTGCCAAAGGGAAACATTACAGCTGAGTTTGCCTATGTAACAAGCTATTATTTCCGTATTGGAAGCAAATTATACTCTTCCAGAGGGCAAACATATGACTAAATATGATTAGATAAAAGGAGACGCATTTAAATTCACTACTTAAATATTTATAGCTTCCTAGCAAAACAAAAGGTTGCCTTCTCAAGTATTCGTGTCTATTAAGTATATTAACTACATCACTGGAGGTTTTTAAGCATCCTCGATAATCATGTGAGTGACGCTATAGAAGGGATGTGTTTTCTAATTGGCCAATTAAACTAAATGATCTCCGTGATCTTTACCAATTCAAAGATATTTTAAGTCAAATTGAGATTTTTCTCTCAATTAAAGAAAAATATAACAGTTCTGTCATTTAAATCCTTTGATTTTCGCTTCCTCAACCAGTAAAATGAAATCAATGAGCTCCTTACATGCAAAACACGAACAGTAGAGTGAAGCAGTAAATATGGATGAGGTCTCATCCACAAAATCTTCTCAACGACGTGGTAAATTTATCACTGGAAACCTCCAAGGTTTCATTCACAATATAGTAGTTTAACAGACATACTGAATGCTTCCATGCCAAGTACTGGGCGGGCACTAGAAAGAGTAGAAAAAGTAAGGCATAGTCACTGATGGGAACACACAGCCTCAGACACTACATGGTAAGCTCTACAGAATGATTCACAGCAGAGCATGGTAAAGTCTTCTAAGGAGCATTTTTTTTTAAATTATAGATTCTATTGTTGTTGCCATAATGATTGGGGAGAGGATGCTACTGAAATTTGGCAATCCAGCACCAGGAACACGAATATCCTATGAAGCCCAGACATGGAATTTTCTCTCACCTACATAGTAAACCTGTTAAAATTATCTAAACCTAAATCCTAATACATTTTATTGCAAATTCTACATAATAGCAATGCAAATTTGAAAATAAAATAAAATATTTTCATTCGCAATATCATGAAAGGTAAAAATATACTTAAGTTTAAATTGAACAAAACAAGTGCAAAACCTGTACTTTGAGAACTACAAAATACTGCTGAGAAAAATTTTAAAAAATCTAAGTAAATGTATAGACAAGTATATTCATGGATTGGATGACAATTCATCCTAGCACACAGATGAATCCCCAAACCCTCATACTATGTGGATGAAGCCTGACACAAAGGACCACATATCCAATACCATGTGATCCTACGGTGAAAGTAAATAAAGGACTCCTTATCTAAAATGGAGCCAGGAACGTAACTTCAGAAGGGGGAGCTCTCACACAATATCACTGACCCTTGTTTTCAGACTCCACAGGAAGGACCTCCTTTACATATCTCAGCAAAGAGGAAGGAAAATTTCCTCCTTACCTAGCAATAGCCCAGCCAATGAGAAATGCTGCAGCTCAGCTAATGAGAAGCCATAACCACCATGAACTTTTGTCTTCCTGCAATGAACTTCCATTTAAAACAGCCTTCCCTGGAGAAAAGGGAAAAAAATAAAATCTGAAAAAAAAACAGCCCTCCTCAATTTTCTCCCAAAACCTAGTATAAAAGTTAACCTGCTCTTTGTCTCTGTGGACTTGTCTATGGCTGTCATAGCTTGCTTATCCTGAATTGCAATTCTCTGCTATTCCCAAATAAACTCATTTTGCTAGAAAAATGACTGGTTATATTATTTTTGTTTGACACTATTAATATGAAATATCTGGAAAAGACAAATCTATTCAGACAATAAGGATGGGAATGGAAAATGACTGCAAATAAACACAAGACATCTTTTTACTGGTGGTAATAATGTTCTCATATTGGATTCTGGTATTGAATTGTACACTTACTGAAATGAGTGAATTTTCTAGCCCGTGAACAATACTTCGATAAAGCTACTAAATACCCAGACACTCATACACAAGCCTACACATCTATCAAGTTTACCTTTTTTAATCTTGGAGTAAAAATTTTCTAAGCCTGATTGGAAGTCCAGAAACTAGAAAATAAATGATTAATAATTTTGACAGCCTAAAATAACAACCAAAACCAAAACAAATTCTTCTGAATGGAAAACTTGCCATATATAAGGTCAAATGGAAATAAAAAGTTTGAGTAGGGGATGAAGTACCTATGAGATAATGGACTATTAGCCTCACTTTAACAAGGTAATAAAAAGTAGAGCAGCAAAAATAAATCACAAAAATAGATTAGGGAAAAATAAATTTAAAAAAATGTTTTTATGACAGGAAATGCAAATGGTCAGTAAGCATCTAAAAAGATGCTCCACCTCATAATTAAGTCAGTATGAATCAAAACAAAATCCTGGTCCCTTTTACAACAACCTAATGGGTAAATATAATTTTTAGACGTTCGTTAGTGCTCACTGTTGGAAAGACTGTGGGAAATCGGTACTTTCATATGTTTTTGGTCATATTATAATTTTTGTGGAATCGTTTTTGAAGGACAATTTGAAAATAACTATTAAATTAAATGCACTTATCATTTCCCCAACTGTTCTCCTCCTGGGAATTCACTCTACAGATTTTCTCAAGGGCCCTTTTGCCTAATCTGTCATAGAAATTACGGCTTTGATAAAAATGAAAATAACAAAAAATGGCTATCAATTTAACACCTCTAAAATAAATCATAATATGCAGATAAATGGAATATTTAGTTGTCAATAGAATGTATAAGGCATGATTGTATGTACAAATTGTTAAAATTGTTATGAGAATAAAGTACGAAGGAGAATGGAATATTCTAAATGTTCCCTTTTTTCCTAGAAGCATTTCTTAAGAAACTCTTAACAACGATTTCATTTCGGGTTAGTTGGGGTAAGGAAAAAGAAGAAAATCATTGTTTTTTCCTGTATAACTTTTATTTTGAATGTTTTACCTTAAAAGAAATTTTATTTTAATTATTTACATTAAAATAAAGAGCACAAACCAGCACTTTAAGAAATTAGTTTGAAATGTTCTTTGTGGTACTTTTAATATTTTAATATCAACTCTTATTTAAAAATATTGAGCCTTTCAGAAAAGCCCTAAATGAAAATTTGAAAATAACCTGTTTTGGGAATAAATATGCATATTTATATAATATAATTCAATGATATTAGCCATAATTTACTCATCTTTTTAAATATATCATTCACTAATTGCCAAATAAATGTCAATGTATGCTTTTCAAAACAGCTGTAAAGTACGCACTTATGTACATAAGGAAATTTTTATAAGAAGATTGCTCATTTACTTTGTTCCCAAGGAAAGTCAAGTCTCTCGGCAGTGAATCTGTTTTGTGTACCGAAAACAGTATGGTCTAGTGGAGAGCGCCCTGGATTTGAGGCCACAAAACCAATGTCTTCTCGAGATGTAGGTAAGCTGTTTAATCTCTCTGAACCTCAGTTTTAGCAGCACTAAAATGGTGATAATGATGCCTTCACAAGTGCTATCATAAGGACTGAAAACTGATGCGAAAACCTAGCCATTGAATCCTCTAACAGAAAAGGGATTTTAGTGGAAAAATTGGTCAAATTCAAATAAAGTGTGTAGTTTAGTTAATGGTATGATACTAATGTTGATTTCTTAGTTATGGTAATGATACTGTAGATATCTAAGATATCTGTCTGAGGGAAAGCTAGATGAATGTTAAACTGGTATTTTTTGTGTTATTTTTCAACTTCTATAATACCAAAATTATTTCAAAAAATAATTTAAAAACTACTATTGAGCAATGAGTTGATATTTTTATATTGTGATTTTATAAGACAGGAGAAAAGTGTATGTATACCAGAACAGAAAAAGGAATTAAATCCATATTTAATACTCATGTCCCCTCTCCCCTTTACACTCAGTGCACAGCATCCCTGAAAACAGCGACTGTAATTTTTTATAGTTACTGGTGAAAAAAGGTCCTGGCTGCTGCCTTGAGGCTCAAGGGTTTTACCTTATGAATAATGAAAGACAAAAATTGAGCCTTTGTGTGCCCAAACTAATGTAATAATAGCAGTCCTGCGAACCTTAGGGGTTTGAAGTAAATTCTAGAATAAGCCAGCTTAACAGTCACAACTGACAACCGAGTTGCAAATGGCAAGCAGCAGTCTCCACCGTCCACCTGATCGTGTTGCAGAGCACAGAGAGGGTCCCTGTGCGGGGCTGTTGGCAATCAGCGTCCCAGCGTCAGTCCAGGTGATGGCTTTCTCCCATATAGAGTCTCCAGACCAGGCCGAGGCGCAGTGTTCCTCCTTTCATTCATCCATTTTCTTCTTTCCCTTCGCCTCTAATCAGAGCTATTTGCGAAAGTGCTTTATTATTTAAAAGCAAAGGGAAAACTCAGCGAATGCAGAAAGAACTTTAGTAAGGTAGAATTTAGTTAGGTTGAGAAAGATTTTACTGCACAAGAGATGTACAATTATATGTAGAATATTATATCTTTGCATATACATGTGTAATAGGAAAAATATAGAAAAATTGACAGGCTTCAGAAAATGCTTTTATTCATGTAAGGGAGAAAGCATCTTGTTACAATGCTTGCTTTATGAAATCGTGGATATGTTTTTATCTCAAAGGCTAAAAAATACCCTGCATAATCATAATTCTACTTAAGCTTAAAATTTTAAATCATTCAGAAAATAAAAATAATAATAGTTAACATTTCTTAGACGTTTATCATGTGTCAACCGTTTTAAGGATTTATGTTATATCTCTTTTAATTTTCACGTGCACATTATGAGATGGGTACTTTTATGTCCCCAGTTTACAGGCAGAAATGGAAACACTGATGACAGCTTGTCAGAGATTACACACCTGGGATGTGATGGAGCAAGAATTAAGCTCAGCAGTCTGCCTCCTGCACCGCGCTCCTAACAATTGTTCTCTATCATGCACTCCCTTTCATGTATTCAGTATTCTCAAAGAAAACGTTGTTATAAAACAGCATACTTATGACTTTTATTATTACAAACGAGTAAATTTGTGTCTTCTCGGTCTTACATGAAAATAAACATTTTGGCTTAAACCTATGCATGATGCCAGCTGTTTAATTATGGACAAATTCTAAAGAAACATAGGATAAGCATAAAGAAACTTTATGCTAAGCGTAAAGTTAGGAAATTCTGAGAGAAATATGTACACATATGCAATTATGAAATATACCTACTAAACTTTTAAGAATGAAGAATACCTTTAAAACATATATTAGCTTATCTCCCAGTAACCAACTTGTAGTTACATTTAATACTACATTATTCTAAGAGAAAGAATCAGCTTCTACCATTTAATTAGTTGGAAAGAAATATGAAGGAGTTTTCTAGAACTGCTTCATAATTACCCATTTGGTGAAAGACCTTGGGTCAAAAACAACTCCTGTACTCCTCACTTTTCTGCAATTTTGGGAGCGGGTTTCATTAGTGAAAAGAAATTGCAAAGATGACCAGATCAGAAAGTGAGTTTGGGAAAGAGAGGTGTCAAGAGTTCCAAAGGCAGTTTCTTCTTCTATCTTCCTGCCCATCTATGGTCTTTCATCAATCTGTTTATAGTCTGAGAATGTCACACAAATTGAACTCAGATACACACGCCACCAACACTAGGCAATATTAATGGCTATGGGAGAACTTACAGACAGGGAAGCAGCAAAGCACACAATGATATTTGCTTGCAATGTATGTGCAATGTGCGGAACCGCAGCCACTATCTTGTGGCCGTGGGAGGATCTAGCTTGAGCTTACTTCCTTCATTTGCAAAATCAAGCTTGTAATAAATTCAATCTAACCTGTAGAATTTTTTTTTGAGAATTAAAAAAATCAGAATGCATGTAAAATAATTAGACCTTGCCTGATATACCACAAACTGCCACAAATAGACTGATTATTATTTGTATTATTATTTTACAATTCTTTTCTGTATTTTTGCTCCAAATGAATGACCCTGGTGAAAATTCAAAGCCAAAGTAGAAGAGCAGGCCTGTAACACCAAGACTGCTGAGAAAAATACTGCAGGGTGAACAAAATTTTGTAATAGTCCTCATTTTATCACAGTGACTTTTTACTCTGTCCAGTCTTCTCAGCTGAAAAGAGCTTGCCCTATCTGATATCCTACACAATAAATAGAAGGTATACCAAAAGAGAAGGCTGTATCAGTGAGACTAGATTTTCTGTTCATTGATGTATTTCTTCTTTATCTGACACAAATGTCCTGTATTAATAGCAATATTGTCTATATGACTTCCGTCCTGTAATTTAACTACAAAATGAGTGCTATTTCATTTCTGTTTCTGTAATCACTTTGATTAAGGATATTAAAAAAGAGGCAAAACTTATCACTATTGAAGTTCTTCAGATCATTTTTTATTTTTTGCACATTTCTTATAAATAGTTAACCTGTAGTAGTCTGAAGAATCAAAGAAAGAAATCTTCAGAGAGAAGTCCTGGTTGTTTTGAAGTTACTTAACGTAAGCCATTTGAACTATTCGCTTTGTGATTGGTAGAAATCCAAGATATAGTTTTAGATATTGTATTTCGTTCAAATAGAGAATAATGCACTGATGAAACTCTTCTGCTTTTGAAATAGCAACAATATGACTTAACTATGTCAGGAATCTTAACGGCTGTAGGTACAATGTTGTGAATTACCTCCCCCAAGCATCAAGGATATATTTAAGTATCTTGATGCCAAAATACCATTTCTCCCAACCTGTCAAATTAATCTACATCTGTCCCATATAGTCTTCCCACTGCTACGTCTTTTGTAAAATGTTACTAACGCTGATAACAAAGTGCTTTGCACATGAGGAGCTCAAAAGATGTTTAAATGCACACTCACAAAGAGGATACAGAAAGGTTAATTATTCACATCCTGAGGCTTTCCTCAGAGAGAGGGGCAGGCTCCCAAACAGCTCCAAAAATGACTAGAGAGACTAGGAAAAGGAGACTAGCTTGGCTTGTGTTGTGGTTAGAGATTCACATGCATGGGACCCAGGACTTCTGTGATTTGAACTTCCCACTGACACCAAAAGAGGGAATACCCAGACTTTGAATCAACTTGTCCCAATGTTGCATGGAGGGAAAGGGTGAGTGGTGGGGCTTGAAATCTGTTAGCAGTCAAACATCAAAAAGAGTTAAATTTTTATTACACTTACCTACCCCAAGTAGTACCAGATATACTTCCCTAGGGTGTAAAAATCCACAGGGAATTAAATAAAGGATACTTCTTTTAATAAATAACTAAAATATGTCTATTTTCCCCTCAGTTTTATATGTGTCTGTTAAGGGCAAAGAACGAAGATAGAAACAGAGCCTTATTCTGAATTCACATATTTGAGAGCATAGGAATGCATAAGTAAGGACAATTTTCTTTTAATGACTTTCCATCTTCCGTGTGGGAATACAAAAACACATCTCTCTCTCGAGAAGCCTGTGAGACAAAGCAAAGAGAGCATCAATAAAACATAATGTACTGACACACACACATACACCCACACACATGTGAATTTTCACATTTTGAAAAGTAAGCAATTCTTTTCTGCTATTTGCAATACTCCTTTCTAGAATGTGTAATTAGCTGGAAAGAACACGTTTGAAAGTCAAAGAAACATTGTTTGGTGATGTTGATTTAAGTTAAATATAAGTAATTTAAAGATTTCCCTCAGTCTCTTGAATTTTCCTTACATTGGGTGAAATACTTTCATTTCTTCAGTATTTATCATGCATTAGTCAATAAGGTATTTATAGGCTATGTTAAGTTAAAAGTGTTGCCTCAGTGAGAGAATAACAAGTAGATTACTACTCCATTGAGAAGTCTTACAAAAACATGTTCAGTATAATTCTAAGAAATTAAGATAGTGAATGACTCTAGGGATGATGCATAAATGTTTTGTAAGTCAAGTAATTTTCAATAATTTGATTTCAATAAAATTGAAAGAGAATACAATAAAGCAATCAGCTGATGGCTCATTAAAATTACTTTTGGTAATACCAATATGTAGGTTTTGTTTTTATAACTAAAAAGAAGTTTAAATAATTGAGTGATTTTACTATTATGGATTTCTCTCTATGTAGATATACTTATTTATATGTAGAAAGCTTGTTATGGTTTATATTTATGAAACTGAAAAATAAGAGTAAGAATAATGCTGAAATTTGGAAAGGGAAGTATATTATTAAGCAGAAGTTTGTCCTCTGTTGCATTTAGATACCATACACTAACAAGTGGGTATAAATTTAATTCTCTTTCAGCATGCAAAATAGTAGAATTTAATAATTCTGTATTAGTTGAAAATCTTTATCTTTTTCTGTCATATTGTTGGATTCTCACTTCTATTCCTGACTAACACGTTAGTGCCATTGAGACATGTTATAGTACAAAGAATATTTATTGCCTTACAATATAGGATATACTCAGGAATATTTAGTATATTATTTAGAAATAGTATAGTGATATTACCATATCAAAATATGTGATATAATGTGATATATACTCATATATATATAAAATCTCCATCCATCCAAAATATCCATTGATAAAAAATAATGAATGAGTCCTCCCAGCTTCAGTATAGTTGTTTCTAGGGATACAAGATAACTGTATTTCTTTACATGTGATTTGACTTCTAGAACTGGTTTTAGAGCTGGGTGATATAAATACTGTCTATAAGTTTGAAGCATTAATCTCAATAAATGCCACAAGTGTATACTCATATTTATTTCTACAAAGAAATGAGTTCTGGAAATAATGAATAGATTCCTTTCTGAACTGAAATGTTACATTCAAAAGCAAATGAATTTAAAAGTCTTTATTGTAGGCAAAATTCTAAGATGGCCCCCAAGATTCTTAGTACTTGGTGTGTATACTCTATACAATATATATTGTGAGATATACATATAGATATCTATCTATCTATCTATCTCTCTATATATAATTCAGCCATAAAAAGAAGGAAACTCTGCCATTTACAACAACACAGATGGACCTTGATAGTATTACGCTAAGTGAAATAAGTCACACAGAGAAAAACAAATATAGGATCTCACTTATATGTGGAATATAACAATATCAAATTCATAGAAACAGAGAGTAGAATGAGGGTTGCCAGTGGCTGAAGAGGGGGAAATGGGGAGACGTGAGTCAAAGGGTACAAACTTTGTTATAAGATGAATAAGTTCTGGAATCTAACATACACCATGGGGACTATGGTTAATACTGGTTTGTATACTTATAAGTTTCTATGAGAGTAGAGCTTTAATGTTCTCACCATTACAACAATAACAACAAAATGATAATTACGTGAAGTGAAGGATGTGTTAACTAACCTTATTGTGGATGTCATTTTGTAACATATATGTGTATCAAACCATCACATTGTATACCTTAAACTTACACAACATTACGTGTCAATTATATCTCATAAGGTTAGGGAACAAAATAAAAAAATGGATATGGGCAGATTTTCACCCAAAGATTTTCAATAATTATTATTTCAGAATAATAATTATTTAGCTCCAGATGGGTCAATGCACTTTAAAAATAGTTTTTTATTATCAAAACAAGTTTGGTTATTACTGTCCTTAATTCACTGGAGAGGAGACTGAGCCATGACCGTATGCATGTCCTAACCATAGTCATATGCTTTTAGGAGAAGGAGCCAAGATTTGAACTCAGATCTGTATGCTTCAATGCCCCATAACTGACCAAACTATGTCTCTACCAGTACCGCTACACATGCGTCCCCAAAATAAAAAGGAAGAAGCAAAGAGGATTTAAGAAAAAAAATGTATAATTGTTACTATTGCTATTATTTACTAGATTGTTTAAAAATTATGTTATATACTGTTACATGTAAATTTTAGTAGTAAAACGAAAACATTTGTTTTTTTTTTAAAAAAACTAACATTAAAAAATGTCACCAAACTCAAACACATCCTTCAAACATCTTTGGTTAGTTATCTCTAAACCATTCAGTGTAGAATTCTGCCTTTTTTTCTTTTTAAATATCTCTAGACAAAACTTTTAATAACTATTCTTAGAA